ACCCTCCGTTATACTATGGGGATGCTAGTACCCCTACCGTTGAAAAAGTGGGACATTTATACCCTTCACTCTAACGGAAGAACTCATGTGATCATCCTATGCATCTACCCTTATTATTAACCGTATTCTAAACCCACAAAAGGAAACCCACCCGAATTTTAAAAAAATCACCCAAATAACCCCCTTTTTTCTAAGTGCACCAAAAAATTTCTTTTATTAGCAAAACAAAATTAAAGTGATTCTTGGATCCAAATTTCACATTGTATAAGAGCAACTACGGGAACCACCACTACATCACCACCACGACGACATAGTCATCATCATCCTAATCAAAATCATCGCAACTTTCATACGTATCATCAAAATCCTTCGATTTTCGGTAACAACTGCACAAGTCTAGGATGTGTAGTTCGTCGAATCTAAAAGTGATGAGCATACGAGGTGAGAATGGTGTGCATGAAGTTTTCTGGAAGATGAGTATTGTTGCACCGGTGGACCCAAAAAGTATTCCACAAGAATAGTCATCATGTGCTGGCGGTACGTTTGTTACACGAATTGGAAGAGTGAGATTTTTCACAGACAGCTTCCGAAAAAATAATCTTCATTGCCGGCTACAGCGGCAGCGGAGGAGGAAACGGTGGTGAATGAGATTTTTAGTGAAGTTTTATTGGTTAAGCTTTGAAGCCTAACTAAAACAGCCATGGTTGCTAAGATTGTTTAGCTCTAAAACCTTATCTTCTCCCATCCTCTAATTCTTCCTCAATTTGTTGCTCAATCATGTAATCTTCTTCTTCTTCACTCAAATCTGAGTTACTAACCCACTCCATCACGAGAATCTCCCCCGTATATCATCTTTTTTTTCATGTTTGAACTTGAATGCAAAATCAAATGCTTACCACTCCTTTCAATACCAATTTTGGGTTGATTAAGTTTTCTATGTGTTTTTGAGAAAAAAAAGAGTAATCGACAAAATTGCGTGAGATTTTTGAAGAACAAAACAGAGGATCAAGGTGAGTATTCACTGCTCTGAAGTGGGAAGAGAGAACTTAGAGTATTTTTGGTTAGTTTGGGTATATCATTAAGTGTTAGTAATGGTTGAGTTGGGGGCTATTTGGGCAGGTCTTTTAAATTTGGGTCGTGGGTTTAGGATTTGGTGAATAATAAGGGTATTTGCATAGGATGATGACACATGGCATTCCGTTAGGGTGAAGGGCATAAATGTTCCACTTTTTGAACGGCAGGGGTACTAGCGTCTCCATAGTATAACGAAGGGTATTCACATACCATTTTCGATAGTTCGAGGGTATATTTGCCTTTTTCCGTAGAAAGACTGGATTTGGGATCAGAGATACACTTCTTCAACATAGAAACATGGAAAAACGGATGAACCGAAGCCAATTCACCAGGAAGTGTCAATTCATAGGCAACCTTACCAACCCTTTGCAAGATTTCATAGGGACCCACATAACCAGGACTCAATTTCCCTTTCTTTCCAACTCTAACCACCTCTTTCATTGGTAAAATTTTCAAATACACCTTATCGCCTTCTTCAAACTCCAAATCCCTTCTCCTATGATCGGCATAAGACTTTTGCCTACTATAGGCTATTTGCAACCGGTTCCGTATCATATGAAACCTTTTCCAAAATCTTATAAAGAAAATCGGGACCAAGAAGCGATGGCTCACCCACTTCAAACCATCCAATAGGAGACCTAATCCTCCTACCATACAAGGTTTCATAGGGATCCATGGAAATGGATGTATGAAAACTATTATTATAGGCAAGCTCCACCAAAGGTAGATGTTTATCCCAATTCCCTTTAAAATCAATAATACACGCCTTAAGTATATCTGTCAGGGTTTGTATCGTATATTCCGCTTGACCATCCTTTTAGGGATGAAAAGAGGTGCTCAACTTCACCGTAGTACCCAACCCTTTTTGGAACGACCTCCAAAATCTAGATGTGAATTGTGTGCCCCGATCTGATATGATGGATAACGGAATGCTATGGCGGTACACAATCTCATCTAAGAAGATTCTATCATAATCCTCCGCCGAATATGAAGACTTGACGGGAATAAAGCGAGCGGACTTAGTCAATCGATCCACAACCACCCATATGGAATCATATGACTTTTGAGGATGAGGTAAACCTACTACAAAGTCCATATTGATGTCTTCCCACTTCAAAGTAGGAATTTGGATCTCTTGTAGTAAGCCACCCGGTTTTTGGTGTTCTGCCTTCACTTGTTGGCAATTCAAACACTTAGTGACAAACTCCGCTATGTCCCTTTTTAGACCTTCCCACCAATATATCTCCCTTAGGTCATGGAACATTTTTGTCGAACCCGGGTGAATTGAGTAGCGGGACCCATGTGCTTCTTCTAGGATTCGATCCCTCAACCCATCTACATCAGGACACATAATCTCCCTTGGTACCTTAGCACACCATCCCACCCCATGAGAATGATTCATTTAACTTGATGAGAACCAATTCTTTCAACTCCATTAAAGCTAGATCAAGATGTTTTTTGGAGTTCACCTCAACCACTAGAGATGACTCGGAGTTATGATGAACTATAGCACCCCCATCTGGAGAACTTTCCAACCTCACCCCAAATCTAGCTAACCTATGTACTTCGCTTGCTAGGTCCTACTTGGCTTCGTCAAGATGGGATAGACTACCCATAGTCATACGACTTAGGTCATCCGCAACTACATTAGCCTTGCCGGGGAGATAAAGGACACTCATATCATAATCTTTTAGCCACCTTCTTTGTTGGAGATTCAACTCCTTTTGGGTAAAAACATATTGGAGACTTTTATGATTGGTAAAGACATCAAATGAACCCCATACAAGTAATGCCTCAAAAATTTTAAAGCAAACACCATGGCCGCTAACTCAAGGTCATGAATGGGATAATTTCTCTCATGTACCTTAAGTTACCTAGAGTCATAGCTATCACTTTCCCGTGTTTCATAATCACACACCCCAAACCCACTCGGGATATGTCACAATACACTACAAAACCCTTTGTGCCCTTCGGTAAACTCAACACTGCAGCAGAAGTAAGCCTATCTTTCAACAATTGTAAGATTTTCTCACATGCCTCCGACCACTCAAACATCTTACTCTTTTGGGTCAAAGTAGTCAAAGGAGATGCAATGGATGAAAAACCATCCACAAATCTCTGATAATAACCCGCTAAACCCAGAAAACTCCTAATGTAAGATTGGAGTCAAAGGTCTAGGCCAATTGTTCAGCCTTTCCGTTTTCCTTGGGTATACCTCAACTCTTTACTAGAGATGATGTGCCTAAGAAATGTCACTGACCTCAACCAAAACTCACACTTGCCATATTTGGCAAACAATTGATGTTCTTTAAGGGTTTGCAATACCGCCCAAATTATCACCCTCATTCTTTGAATATACCAAGATATCGTCAATGCAGACAATCACAAATGAATCTAGGTAATTTTGAAACACTCTATTCATTAGTTCCATAAACGCCGTCGAGGCATTAGTGAGACTGAAAGACATGACCAAGAACTCATAGTGCCCATACCTAGTCCAAAAGTACGTCTTTGGTATATCCTCACCTCTCACCCTAAGTTGGTGATACTCCGACCTTAAGTCTGTCTTTGAAAAGTAGCTTGTCCCTTAGAGTAGATCAAACAAGTCATCAATCCGAGGGAGAGGGTACTTATTATTAATGGTGACCATCTTTAGTTGGAGGTAATCAATACACATTCTAACGGACCCATCTTTCTTCTTCACAAACAAAACCGGAGCACCCCTTGGAGAAATACTAGGCCTTATAAACCCTTATTTAGTAAATCCTTGAGTTGAGCCTTCAACTCCTTCAACTCGGCTGGATCCATCCAATAAGGAGGAATTGATATGGGATTTGTATCCAGTAGAAAATCAACGCCAAATTCAATTTCCTATTTGGGAGGAATATCGTGAGGGTCATTAGGAAAGACCTCCGGAAATTCACTCACTACGGGGACCGACTCAATGGGAGGAACTTCGGAGTCTAGATCTTGGACTCTTACTATATGATATAGACAACCTTTTAAGATAATTTTGCATGATTTTAGACAACAAATAATATGACCATCTAGGAATAGAATTTCCCCCTTCCACTCAACAATAGGTTTATTTAGGAAGTTAAACCTCACCACTCTTGTCCTACAATCAATGGAGGCAAAACATACATGTAACCAATCCATATCCAATATAACATCAAAGTCAAGCATATCGAGTTCTACTAGATCAACATGTGAAATTCTATAGGGCAACATTATAGGGCAATTTCTATACACCCTTTTTGCAACAACCGACTCTCCAACCGGAGTAGACACTACAAAAGGTTCATACAAAATAATAGGTAAAATATCAAACTTTTTAGCTACTAGCGGTGTAACAAATGATAAAGTAGCGTCGGGATCAAGTAAGACATATACATCAAAATAGAAGACTTTCAACATACCCGTCACCAAGTCTGGTGAAGTCTCTTGCTCACCCCTAGAGCGGAGAGCATAGAAGCGGTTCTTCTTTGGAGCATCACTAGAACCACTTGCTTGAGCTTGACCACTATCGTTGTATTGACTCTTCAAGTTTGGATAATCTCTCATCTTGTGACCTTTCTTTCCACAACTAAAGCGATTCCCCATTCCTAGAAAGCACTCACCAAGATGACCCTTTCCACACTTGGTACAAGTAGGCTTCTCATCTGGTGAATTAGTACCTTTTACCCTCTTGAATTCTGGGTTAGACACCCTATCACCCTTAGCTTTTGGAAACTTGGAAGGGACTGGATTTGAAACTTTCTTCTTAAATCTAGGATTTTCTTGTATGTCAAGCCTATTCTTTGAAGAATTTCCCTCAAATGATTTTGCTCTTTTAGCATCTCTACCTTTCGCTTAGCCCTTTCCTCCCCAACCCTTCTTGCATGCACCATAAGATAGAAAATATTCATGTTGCCATGTAACATAGCCTAATGGCACTCCTCTTGCAAGTCCTCTGACACACCCTCAACAAAATGGCTCATTTGGTCTCTAGGATCAGAGACCAAAGAAGGATCATATTTGGACAACTTAATGAATTTTAAAGAGTACTCATGGACAGTCCTTCCTCCTTGGAAAAGGTTGATTAACTCCACTACGTTTTCCTCCCTCATCTCTCTAGGAAATAAAGGATCTATAAAAGCCTCCTTAAAGATCTCCCAAGTCACCGGACCATCCCTTAATGGCCTATTATCCCTCAATTGAACATACCACGCTTGCGCCACCTCCTTGAGTTGATATGTGGACAACTCGACCTTCTCACTTGTAGACAATCCCATAGCCAAAAGTATTTTAGAGACTTCATCGATGAATTTTTGTGGGTCTTCATCAACCTTAAACCCATAGAATGTAGGAGGGTTCATTCGATTGAAGTCCCTTAGACGGAAAGCCATAGTAGTTACTTGTTGATGAGGACACGGCACAACCTCCTGATTTGCTTGAACCGTCATAGCTTAGGCTTGAGTCATGGACGCTTGTGCTTGAGTGGTGATAGATTGGGCCATTTGAAGAAGAGTGGTCCTTATATTCTCATCCGTCAAAAGAGGAGGATTGGCCGGTGCTTACTCCAATTAACATCTTCATCAAGTGGAGGAACTTCCTCACTATGGGGATGATCTGCCGCATTATCAATGTCCTCTTCAAGTCTTTGAGCCGCATTCCTTCGAGTGTTCATTCTTCCTATAAGCACAAAAATAGGATTAGATGTAAAATCACACCATAAGTATACTTTATCGGCATGATATAAGATTTCCAAGAAGGAGAGTGATTCCTAATCATCATATAGGATCCTACTCATAAGTGTGGCGCGCTTCACAATTATGAATACAAACCAACATAACGTGGTAGAGATAGAGAGATATAAGTCAACAATATTCAACCTCATGCTCTACTAACAAGTTTCTCATATCCGGGTTTACCCCCTAGACGTAACCGGCATCGTCGTCATTTTTAAGAACTAAGAATAACCTCTTAGTTTTATGTCATTACATTCATAAGTTGAAAATGCGGAAAATTTTAAAAATTTTCATTATAAATACTTAGTGGTTTACATAGACATCTACATACACATAATATATAGTCATATCGAGTATATATAGACCCTCCGCATAGGAAGGTTACATAGCCTTCTACTTTTATTGCACACACACATATATATATAAAATATAGAAATAGTCTCAATGATTGTCTCATCTTATACCATCTAAACGATTTATCACAATATGGGCATAGCCCATACATTAATCCAACAAGACCATATATAGGTCATATATAAGTATAGTACTCAATTGAAAAGGAAAGAAATGGAAGGGTCATTAAGATCATAACAAGTCTGTAAGCTAGATGATGACATTGCCCTCAGAATTTGAGGACCTACCTCACTTGGATGAAAGGAAGAATCCAAGCCTTCAACAATGTCACCTTCTAAACTCTTCAACAATCGGAACCTAAAATGTTTTGGAAAAGGGAATTAAATGGGGTTAGTACTCTACATGTACTAAGTATGAGATCTTACGCACATACACAAGAAAAATATGCTAAAAAGGGACATTTGTCAAAACATGTCATTTTACCCCCTTTAGGGACCTAGTGCAAAGCCAAGCAAGTCATATCAATCAACCAAACATGCTTACTAACTCAACAAGTAATACCTACTTAGTGATCCCTAGCCATAGAGATGTGAACCTAGAGCGTCGGACCCTATATTTTATAAAAATGTATGCAATAGTATGCATTGGTACAAAAATGTATTATGTATGATATCTATGCATAAAGTAACAAATCATGGTAAAAACACATTTTTGTGACATGCAGTGAAAAAGCTAAATCATGATATAAAAGGTTTAGAAACATAAATCATAAAACATTGTCAATGCAAGCTATCATATTTAGAACATTCATGAGATACTTATAAAACTAACCTTAGTTCATTCTTTTGAGAATTTTTTCTTGAACCGGCATTTAAGACCATGTGAGCTATTAACATAGATTTTGGTGTATACCCCACATTGAAAAGGGGTGTCCTACTTCCCAAGCTAAGACCTTGAACTTCTAGCTTACATGGATCCACTAGCTTATATCAATCTAAGACAATGATCCTATGAGGGCACATAGGTATGGGATATGAAGATTTCTACTAGAAACTCAACCTGTAGCTACGGGAGAGCTTCCATCTCAATATTTTCTAGTACTAAGCGTAAATCTCACGGAATAGTTATTATTGTTAACTTGTATTATCATTAAGAGGCATGGGTATCACCATTTTCTTTATTATCTATGGAAAGGTACAATTAAAAAACCAATCCAAGCTAGAGACATCATTAGAATAACACCTTAACTTTGATTCAAAGTTTAGTTGAGACAACCTTTCAACTCTAAAAATTCTTTATGTGAGAAAACCTTTCATAATCATGCTTTCATGTGTCTATGAAAAATCCTTTCATAACACAAAAAAAAACAACATGGATGCTTACTAAAATAATTTTTTCATCAATTTTATAAGAACATGCATATCTTTATAAACTTAACTTTCATGATTCAAAAGGTTCATCATTGATCAAATCTAGAAAACATGGATCATTCATGAGTTCATGGAGAATTCAACTTAAATCATGCAGATTATTCAATTTATGCATACGAAGACATAAAAATATCGATTGGATCAACATTGAAAAGAGCCCATAATAATTGAATAAAATCCTAACTCAATTGGGGAATCTAACTTTACGAAATTGGAGAATTTGGGAACTATGGAGGAAACGACTTCATAGGTGAATACTATCATACCTTAATGCCAAAATCTTGAACTCAATGGTGGAATTGGAGACTTGAATTGAAATCCTAACTTTACTCTTCAAACTTTAAAGAGAGAAATATATGAGAGAATGACTTGATTTCTTTTGGGAATTCGAGATAACGAATTGAATTGAGTAATTTTGGGAGTAAAATCCTTATATAGGTATTTGGGTAGAAGGTAAAACGACGTAGTACTGAGTTATAAAAATTAGAAAAAGACCCTAAAGACCTTGAATTAAAATACTAAATTGACTCACCAGAAGGCCTAAATTAAACGGGTCATCTAGAGCACCACCGCCCGTCTAACGGGTTGTGAAGAAATTCTTCCAGAAAGAACTTCACTATTCTAGGCATTACTTTTTACTCTGAGCTTGGAAATAGGCAAACTCGGTGGCATTGGAAAGAGAAATGTGAGATCTTTAATTTGATAGGTCATAGGCCGCCCAATTCATTTTGCGCTAAAATATATGACCATTTGAATTTATCCTAAACTTTAAGATGATAAACCCCATTCATGGTGTTTGTGGGGCTTCACAGGTTGTTTAGACATTCGTGGTCCTTGACCAGTGACTAGGAGAGAAGAACCTTCTGAGTGGGCAACTTGACGAACCCTTGGACGGCCCGTCTACCTCATCACGGACCGTCAAGGCATTTTTGGGAGGGATACTAGTCTAGGCAGGTTCTGGAACTCCTAACGAGCACCCTAACAGACCGTGGTCCCCTACACGTCCCTTATAGGGATCCGTGGAGGGTTCCATGGTCCACCTTTGGGTTCTTAACATGCCCATTTGACTCTTTTCTAGACTTTCTCTATTAGGAGGTGTCACAATCAGTTAGCAGGAGAATTAAATATTATTAGATTATTATTGTTCCTAGATATATGCATGTTTCAGCTAGAGTATACTTAACGTTAAGTGAACTCTAGGGATGAAGGTTTATGTTTGGGTTCGTGGACCTTTAGTATCAATCTCAAAGCCCCAGAACTATGTCCCGCCATAGGATTTGTCTTTATAGGCTTTAGCTAGTGGATCCACCTTAGCTCAGATATCAAGTCCCTTACCTTGGCAAGTATAGGACACTTTCATTTTGGTGTGAGAGTAGTACACTAAACTATATATAGTAGCTCACATGGTATATATACCTTGGCAAGTATAGGACACTTTCTTTTTGGTGTGAGAGTAGTACACTAAACTATATATAGTAGCTCACATGGTATATATCGATTTTAGTATCTCACACATTTAGATTTTCAGATAGTGCATGACCTTTTATATAAGTATTTTGGATCAGATTATCCCAGTTTGATGTTGTTACTTGGTCATTGCATCAAATATCATGTTATTTATGCCTTTTCTCCAGACTCAATACATTTCAAATACTGACCGCATACTTCTGCCTACATTATTTGATAATATAGGTTATGATGCTTATCATCCAGCCCACAGTTATTACATATTCAGTCAATATTGAAGCAGCTTTGGTGAGTCCTTATTATTCGAGGATGACCTCTTTGTCTTTGATTTCAGTATTTTTCTTCCTATTTCAGACAGTTAGATGTAGCTAGAGGTTTGTCCTCGCAACTCATGTTAGTAGAGGCTTTCAGACATTTAGTTAGATTTCGCCATATTATGTTGTCTTCCAGATTTTGTCGAATCTCAATATTTTGGTTAGTTTCCTACATGACAGAGGAACAGGTGAGATGAAGGCCCATGGAATGATATTTCTTTTGCGATTCCTGCCAGTTGAGTTTAATTTCACTAACTATGCAGAGCATTAATGTTGCTTTTAATTCAGTTTGTTTTGATTTCGAACAGAGTGTTTAGTTTAACAGTGTGAAATTTGTGTCTCAAATCTACATTGTAGTCCTCCTTCCCATGGCAAGAGCTTAAGTATCAAAAGTGTAATCTTGTGAACTAGCTAGCCATCCCTATATATATAGTAGCTACTGTAATTGCTTGGTCAAATTGTGTACGAAAGTAATAGGCTTGCCCTTTACAAGAGTGATACAGTGATATTTACATACTATAGTTATTTATGCAGATTATCATTAATTATGGTTGCTGTTTACCCAATAGTATTGATCCTATGGGAACTCATTGTTGTTGTTGTACTCCTTGTGATAAAACTTATGCATTGTGAACATTTGCAAGCCGCGTGGAACATATATTAAGTCTGCTTGGTTGCTTGCTCCGACCTCTCTGTGTTCTCGTTAACTGAAACTTAATTCACTAGCGAAAGAAAATAATAAACTGGTTGTGTTTCTGTTACTTGTTCTTTCAGAAAACATCTGCTGAATTCAAAAGTGGGTGAGTGATTACCTTCTCAACCTTTTTAACGGAGGCATTTTTATAATGAGGATATAGATGATGAAAACAATGAACATGATTTCTTTCTAATGTTTGATTTGTTGAACATGGTTTGTTTCTGATTTTTGATTTTATTTTGAATATGTAGGAAAGTGAAAGTGTCGGCGATTCGATTGATTGAGGAAGATGATGAAAATTTTTTGAACTATTATAGAAGTTTGAATATAATATATTTGGTTTTGTAAAATTTATTGGTAGCACATAAAGCATTGCTTTACAAGTACGTGTAGTACAAGACACATTGTTCTTTTTTTGTTTTATGTTTATTGCAAATATGTACATTTGAATCA